TTGAATATTATTCAACGATTATCTTTGTTGTTGTAGATTTTGCCCCTAGTGGGACCATCTTCATCTCGAGCAGGTGGGTTTTGGATGAATTATCGGAGATATCCTTGTCGGATCAGCCTCTTAATCTCAATCTTGAGTTATTTGCAAGCTTTAGTAGTGTGTCTACGACTGCAATGGAAATGATAGTATTGCTTCTGATTTCCTACGTTCAGCTTTAAAGGGTTTGGCCAATTTAAGTTTTCTTGATCTTGGATGGTCATCAACACATTTGTTCTAGGGGTATTGAGTGGTATATATTCCTCTTCTTGCTAAAACACACATTGTGGTATTGGGGGTCTAGAAGGTAGGTTTTTCTTTCATTACGAGAATGAGTCCTCCATTTTAGGCGCAATCTTACACTTTTCAGGAGTTTGCTCAAATTGCTTCATATGGGCATTGATAGCTTCATATGTTAATATTTGAGCCTCGATATGATAGATCGGGTCAGCATATGAAGGAAATGTGTCTCGTATAAGTGTTGAGTAAAAGGGACTAGGAAGGATGTCTCCAAGGAAAACTCCTCTTAGTAATTCAAGATCAACTCTGAGAATTTATCGAGCCTTAATGGAAAATCATTAAAAATAATCTTTAAGTAATTCTTCTTCATTCTGGCAAATCCCATAAAGATGAGAATAATCTTTAGCAAATCTCCAATAAAAATCATTCCACAAACACTTTGACCAATTTGCAAAGGTGGGGATTATTCTAGCTAGAAGTGAATATAATCACATTCATGCTTATCCCTTAAGGGTAGCAAGGAAAACTTGGTGTAGGAGCGCATCTGAGGCTCACTAGATATGCTTGATGGTCCTATAGTGATCGATATACTCATACGTGTCAGATGTCCCATTATAGGAATTGATATTTGATAGTTTAAATCATGCTAGAATTGGGTGTTGAAGGATGGCTTCAGTTAGGCGAGATAACACATGGAAGTCCCACTAACGATGAAATTGTCTTATTCCTCCCACGGGGAATTTTTCTTGGACCAATCTTCATAATTCATGATATAGGGCATGCCGAGGAAGTTCAGTAATATGCTGTCAAGCTAAGCCATCGGGGATGTCCAGAGGAATATAAGGTTGGCGACCTGAGCACGAAGGATGGGTAGAGCTTACTATGTTAGCAAGCTCATTGTCTTGATGTGTTAGAGGGTGCATCCTTGGCAGAGGAAGCAGGATCTCACCATGAAGATGTTTAGGTTGAACATCTTTGAGCCAAGGTGGATCTCGCAAGAAAAGAATCTCTTCTTGAGGTGCTAGTGTCGATTGCCGAGTCTCTTATAGGAGTTAAAGGATCTCATTATGAGATCCTCCATCTTTCTGATGTGGTCTTCCAGGGAAGGCTCTAAAGTTCCTTCTCAAGCAGCATTATGCCCCTAAGGATAAAAAGAGGACGATGCCTATCGTCACTGGTTCATCGAAGGATTCCTAGATTGGTGTGAGTTAGAGCGGGAGGCTCCGAAGATACAATTGATATGCCAATTGGCCATCGAAGTGGTACTTAGAATAGTGGGATTGAGTTTTCCAAAGATGGTGCCAAATTGTTACAGGATAGAGTATACACAATTATAGAGTTAAAATACTGTGTCTTAGTGTTTCATGGATATCTAGCTCACACATAGAGAACACAAGATGTTTTTATGTAAAAAAGCTTAGAAAGGGGAAAAATCATAGGGCTTGACCCAATTTGAAATGATTCCACTAGTGTGTTGGGTAAATTATAATGGGCTGACTCATCCCTGAGGGTGATCAGATTATAATTATCAAGCGTTTGGTTGAAATCTAGTGACAAATGAGGATAAAAGTTTAGCATCACTTGGTGGACAAGCATAATTTTGGTGCTACTTAAAAATTCAGGGCTTTAGTTAGTAGCCTGGCATTGGTTTGACAGATCTTTAGCATCGGGCGGTGGTCCGACAGAAGTCTGGCGTTAGATGGTGGTCCGATAGAGCTTCGAATGTCAAGTGATTGTCTGATAGAACTTCAGGTGTACTCCAGTCATCAAGTGGTGGTCCAGTACAACTCTGGGCGTCAAGTGGTGGCCCAGCAAAACTTTGGGGCTCAGGTGATGGTTTGACAGAAGTTAAGGCCTATGGTGGCAGTTTGATAGAACTTCGGGCATTAAGTGGTAGTTCGACAAAAGTCCACGCATCAGGTGGTGGTCTGGCAAAACTTTGGGCCTCAGGTGGTAGTCTGACGCAACTCTGGCCACAAGTGGTGGTTCGGTGGAGCTCAGGGCCTTAAGCGGTGGTCCGGTAAAATTCAGGGCCTTAGGTGGTGATCCGACGAAACTCCGGGTCTCAAGTGGTGGTCCGGCGGAACTCAGGGGCTCAAGTGGTGGTCTGACGAAACTCAAAGCCTCAAGTGGTGGTCCGAAGAAACTCAGGGGCTCAATTGGTGGTCCGATGGAGCTCAGGGCTTCAAGTAGTGGTCCTAAAGAACTCTGGCAGTGGTCGAGGAGGCAAGGAGAAAGAGCGATCTCTGATTTCTCTTTTTTCTCCTTAGGCCCCTTTTTCAAGAGGAAGGAGGGGTCTATTTATAGATTTGAATGGACGACCGATGCTGAATCCCCTGATCATGGATAATTCATTAGACATTTAAAGGTTTTATTGATGTCAAAATTATGTGATCTTGGGCTCATTGGATTTTTTTCCTCAAGCCGCTCGATTTGAATATAAGCATGTCACATTTGAAAATCTTTTGGTAATCCAAATTGTGGTTTGAATCTTCCAACAGCGCTTTCAGGTCCTTGATTTGGACCCATTTGGGCTCGGATTGAGTTGAATTTGGTGTTGTTGGGTTCATATTTCTGAGACATTCAGTTTGACCATAAGTTTGTTGAAATCGAAGTTCAAATGGTCCAAGTTTTAATTTCGAAAGTTTCCAACTCGATTTTTCCTCGAGATTTGTGCCCGATCAAGAAAATATTTGAAGATGTATCAATGATGATTATAATTTGCTTTATTAACCTTATAATTTGTAGTGTTGTTTCTATTGTGAATGCACTATAAGGTATCAAACATATATAATCGCTTATTATAATTATAATTCACCACATCAATGTTATAATCGACTATGTTGTTGCTATTGCAATTGTGCTCTACCAGGGGTGGAACCACGTTAGCGTGAGGGTGGGAAGTTTCCCCCCCAGAAAAAAAGAAATTTCCCTATGCCTCTTCATCCCTCAATTAACCTGTGTGGCACGTTAACATGAGGGTGGGCAAAATTAATTTGCTCTATGCCCCTTTGTGCCAATGTCAACTTGCGTGCCGACTGTAGAATGACACACCCTCGGCTGCTCAAGGGGTTGCTCATCCTCATCCATGACGAGAGTTCCGACACAGTCACCATAGACCTCCTCAGCTATCGAGTACGTAGTTCTTCTTGTCCTCCGCAAGAATGACTTGCGAAGCAGAGGGGGTCGGTGTCCATGTCATCCAGTTCGCCACCAGTGGAAGTCATCCAATCGTTGGCAGTAGAGACGGTTGAGGCTTATTCCTCATCTAAATGGAGAGATTCGCCAAGGGACTTGCCGGCAACATTGTTTGAGTCTTCTTCCTTGTCGGAGTCTTGGTTAGAATCGATCTCCGAGCCGATATAGTGCCAAACTCATCCTACAAGTTGTCGTCCTTTGAGCTTAGGAGTTAGGGTTTTCACTGAGAAGATGTAGAAGGAACCACTAAAATGAGGGGTTTTATCGTTAGGAGAGTAAAAGAAGCGAGGACTGAGAAGTAAAACATACTGGCATGGCCACATTTCAGGTTCTTGAAAATCAACTAATTTAATACATTTGGATATATTTATAAATTATTTTAGTAATAAAGCAAAAAAATTACAATTTTACATCATAAAAAATATTATTTAAAATTTATATATTATTTGAGTAAGAAAGCAACAAATTGGCTTGTTGTTTTCTTGTTGAATGTTTTGCAGTTTTATTATTAACGCTTCTAATATTATTGCAATCTATTCATTTCATTTTTATGTTGGAAGTTTGAAATAGTCTGGAAAGTGATTAGTAGATGTAAATTAGACAAAACTTTTAAGATAGTAGAGCATGTGAGATATTGTCAAGAGAATTAATTTGTCAGGATGTGGACGAAGCTCCTTATATAGTTTTTTTGTGCAACCGTAATATAATTTAACCGTCCATTTTCATGTAAATGCCTGTAAAATTAGTTTTTTATGTAATAAAATATAATTTTATTAAGTGACGAGACCATCTGTAGCTCCAGCTTAGGCACATGTACTATACTGCTTAAGCCAAATGCTGCTCCTTATTAGTTTTAAAGCATAAGGAAGAAGTGAGCCACATAGGTTTCAGCCTTTGGCATAAAAAAAAGTGATTTTATGGACTCAATCATTGGCATAATATTGAAAGTATTTTTAGTTAGGTATCAAAACACAACACAATATAGCATAATGAAAATGCAACTCTTTGCTTTGATATTCATGTAACGAATTTGCCCACACTCAAAATTATAGCTAGTTCCACCCCTGCGCTCTATCATATCAACCTTAAATTTTGCTATATTATAAATTATCCAAAATTTTCTTCAAATAATGTTAAAATCATGTTCAAATTTTTTCCAGCCATCTTCAAATATTTTTTGAATCATATTATAAATTTTTTCGAATTGGAATATTATTTGTATCTTTTTCTAACTTGTTCTAATATATTAGAATTTTATAATTGTTTGAAATTTAATTGAAGTTTAGTTTGAAATTTTTTTAGACATCATTTGAATCATTTTAATTTTTTTATGGACAACAATAAATAATACATGAATATAAAATAATTTTATATAAAATAAAAATTTAAGTATATTAAAAAGTAGCAAAGATATTTATTCTATTATGATTATTATAATCCCCTCCAGTTTATTTTCTTTGAAACAACTTCTACTGAAATATAATTATTTTCTAACAAAATGTTTATATTTTCCCCACGCTGGGCAGACCGACCTCGGCCCATGTCAATTCGCGCTATGAAATTTTATTTTTCTCGTGACCTCTTCGCCTGGACTCTCTCCTCTGTAAACCGGCGGATCTCATCGGAGATCGAAGACAAATGAGAAAGCTTAAAGAAGGGTGCCGGCAGCAAGCCTCGGAAAGAGGACAAATAGGTTTGGCCACATTCTTCGTTTGTTCCAATCTATTGGTTCTTCCCCGAATGTCATAGATTTCTTGGTTCCCTATGTAGTTTGGCTTTCATAGCCTTGCATACGATTTCGCCGCTTAGATTTTCATCGGACGAGCTTCCTGATCCCCGTTTTAAGTTATCCTTCTTTCGAGGCCTGCATATTTTATGTTAGTATGAATTTATTTCACAAGCCTTATTTTTTGTTCTCCTCATTTTTGGTTCCTCTTGTTTTCATTACTAAACAAGTTCAGCACAATGTAACCTTTTGTTACTACAGCTAATCTGAAAGGAAATTTATCTGCAGCTGGAGTTTTATTCTATCTGAGCGCTACGGAGCAAATACTTGAACTTTTGTTTTTTTAATTTTTTTCCTTGAATTATCTGCAAGTTGGTTTTGCAGATTATTATGAAAATCCATGCTCATAAAAATCAAACGTAGAAGAAAGATTTTGCTGGGAATATGCTGGAATGATATGGGGGATATTCTCCCTAAGACGTCTGAAAGCGTGAGGATGGACCAAAATCCTTTTTCTTCTAGCAATGGCACTACGGTGCCCTCTCAGAATTCTGCTTCCAACGTTGATGGGGATGTATATGACTGCGATGACTCATACTTTGTTCTACCGTAAGCCTTCTATTACTTTCTAAAGTTATCTGTAATTTGATACCTTGAATGTCAGTCTCTGCATATATAGATAGGACGACACCAGCACCATAGCTCTAATCATTGTTGTAATTAATTGTCCTCTTTCTTGACTTGGAGTAGTAATCAAACTTGCTGATGTTGTGGATTCATAATATATATGCCAACAGCCAACTTGTAATAATAAAGCACCTGGCTGCATGCTGAATTATAATATGCGCAGTTTAGTAGGAATTTCTCTGTTTTCTACTTGTGATTTTATTTTGAATTTTAGGTTAGCATCAAATTAAATGCGGTCATTCCTATGAGTTTCGTTTTATTTCTGTGCATATTTATGTCATGGATGACGTGCTGACCCATCCCTCTCAAAAAATAAACAAGAAAGAAAGAAAGTAATAGAATACTAAGGCTTCACTCATGCAAGCTCATGCTAACTAGATCATTATGAATTTCAGCCAATTCAGATGACAGGAGGTACCGTTGGGTGTCTGATAACTTCTATCAATGCATGTCTATTGAACGTATGATCTAGATGCTTTATTTGTGTGTGTGCTGTATGTTTTTGTGCGCTTACCATGCTTTTGTATTTTTCTGTGTTGCTTTCTCAGATGTTTTTTTCTTTGAAAAAAATGTGCAAATTGCATTAATTAATAAAATAAAGAGACAACCTACTTAGGAAAAAGAAGCCTATCACAATCCTTCCTAATCAACTCGACAAACATTGAAGGAAGTTCACTACCCAAGAAAAAGTCCCAATAAAAATCACCTAATATGGCATGATGAGAACAAAAATCTACCACATTATTACACTTTCTAGGTACAAAATGAAAAGAACATTCTTAAACATTTTTAAAAAAGAGAGATCCAATCTTTGAATCAGATTATTCCTGTCAGGATGATTTGTTGGTGTGACAAAAAACTGAAAAAAAATTCACATTTACCTATTGCAGAAACTCAAACAGGTTGTCGATGTCTCTACCTGCAGAGCTTGCAGGAGCTATTCCCTTGATTGATAGGTTCCAGGTATGTTTTAAAGTTTGATCTCCTTATTTCTTGCATTCCTCTTTGAAGTTGCAGTGAATGTATATATTATAGAAAGTTGGCGTTTGTACGTGAATTTCAATATTAATCTGATGCCACTTTTCAGTTAATATAAAACACAAACGAACAATTTTCTAATTTTCAGTCTGGTTATGTAATGCTGTTACAGTTCATATATTTAATTCCAGATTTTATCAATTTTGAACAGGTTTGTTACTGTGATAGGGAGAAACTCCCATAACAGTTATAGGGTTCCCATTGATTGTAAAATACCCTCAATAGAGTGATGACTTTATAGTTGCCACTACAGTTATTACATTAAGACTTGGCATTGTTAATGCTGCTTTACACATTTAATTGCAATTAATGCTATACTACTCAACCAATAGCGCACAAAAAATTCTTGATGTACTAAGAAAAAGATTGTTTGAGAGAGGAGAGGAGTGGAGAGAGAGAAAGCTTTATAACTTGATGTGGTTGTGCATTGCATTGATGCTCTCATCAAAACTGTTTTGTTTTTGTTCTGTGAATAGGATAGTGTTAGCGGATCTTTGTTCTAACTATGCTATTGTTTCTTCCTTTATTTGGGATGATTTAGTACTTAATAAGGTTCCTCCTTATTTTATTGCTTTGTTAAAGGAGGAATCATATGGATACCTTTAATTTTTGCTTTTAGCTTTTAATAAATGTTAAATGCACTGGTTGCATTTTCTTCAAAAAAAAAAAAAAAAAAAAAGGTTTAAAAAAAAAAAAAAAAAAAGAATAGGATAGTGTTGTTTTAAAATGCTGGATTTAATAGGACCGAGCACATGTTCATAATTATTAAATATTTGAGATGCTTCTTCACCCTTTTAATAGGAAAAGTTCTTAATGTTTTAGAGGAAGCTATATCCTTGTATTTGCGTGTGACTTCTTTTATATGGTGACCTATTTTTATTATTTTTCTTATTCTCTAAATTATAAGAGTTAGCCTAATTGTGTAAATTAGTTTTATCAAATTGGCTACCATATAGTTTTCAATTAGGGCTTGATTTTCAATCCGTATTTTTTAATGTTTGGAATGGAAAGCCATCACGATCATCTAGACTTGACGGTGAAGGTGAGGGTCTCCTCATTGGTGAGCATTGGGGAGTCATTCTGCATCATATTGATGAAAATGATATTTTGGATCTTGCATTCAAAGGGTTTGCCATTGAGGAGGATGTCTTCATTGTTGAGTCCTATACTACACGATCAAAAAGGATGTTGGCCGTTAGATCAATAAAAAAGGAAACAGTTTTGAAAATATAAAGCACCTTAAATTTGTTTTCAGTATATTTTTAAATAAAAATTTGTTTGAAAATATGAAATACAAAAATGAGTGAAAATTCTATTTTCTTACTATTTTAATCATAAATAAAAACAAAACCTGATCCCAAACATGGTACAAGGTGTCATGAACTATAAATTTTGAATTTCTGTGCTTCTCAACATTATACATTATATTTGTGTGTGATTTTATTGTCGACCTACATTGGAATATCCAAAACTTGATGGTATCTTACATCGCCTACAAGAGTGTTTCCCCATTTTGGGAAATGGCAGTTTAAATTAATGAGTAAAAGCTCAAAATAGTCCCTTGACTATTGATAAGTGTTCAAATTAGTCGTAGAGCTTCGCATTGCCTCAACTTAGCCTCTCAATTATTAAAAATTGTCCAATTTGGTCCCTTGGTTAGATTTGACATTTAAATTAATGGAAGAAGATGCAAGGCTTCGCTTCTTTGTGGGTATTTTAGTAAAAATGCTTGTTGCTCGTCTTCTCGCTTAAACCTTGGAGACAGAACTGGACACCAAATTGTGCGAGCGAGAAGTTGCGACCAAGGCGACGTGCTGTGAGCGAGACGACATGCTGCGAGTGAGATGATGCGCTGTGAGGAGGTTGCAAGCGAGACACACTACGAGTGAGACAACATGCTTTGATTCAACATCTATAGTTTTGTGTGGCTTTGAGCGAGGCACATGGTGTTGCGAGTGAGACACCCTATGATTGAGATGATGCTCTTCGACATGTATACCCCTACTGCTATGAGCGATCACAAGCGTTCACGATGAGCTTCGACATCGTGAGACAGAGATGGCGAGCAATGTGCGACATCCACAAGGAGGAGACACAACTAGGCTTGTTTTAAATAAAATATAATTTTTTCACTATTTATTCACCCTTATTATATAATAGATTAAATATGTAATATAATTTATTAAATGATAAAATAGAGCAATATAAGCAATATAATCTCATATCCACTTGTAATATCTAAAATATCCTTTATATTTAATATTGGAGTTATATTTAACTCTTATTTTAGGTTCTGAGACTAAATTGGATCAATTTTTAGTAGTTGAGGGATTAAATTTGGGCAATGCAAAACTCAGGTACTAAATTGGTCATTTATCAATAGTCGAGGAACTATTTGAGCTTTTACTCTTAAATTAATTGAGTTAATTAACCCGATTAGAGATTATTTAGTCTAATTAGGATTAAAAAGGGTTATAATTAAGCTCATTAGTGTTTATTAGTGTTTAATTATGCTTATTAGGCATGGGAATTATTTATTTGGTTATCTATTAAGATGAATTAAAATTAACCATATACTTAGTCTAGTTAGCAATTCAAGAGATTTTTATTAAGATTACTAAATTTTTATTAGTTTCAATTACGATTATTTATTAATTGAGTTGAATTATTAATGAGTTATTTATGCTAATTACGGTTTAATTCTATTTTTTATTAGGAACATTAAAGTTGAATTAATATTATTTTATGATAATTCAGCCTTTAATCTTACATTATTAATTAAATGATTATATTAACCGAGAATTAACTATTGCTTAAGCTAAGAAGAGGTAAATTAGGATCAATGGGTTTGATCACTTTTTATATTGTGATAAATAGTCATTGGACGATTAAGTTATCACTTAATTAGCCATTTTTATGATTAATTATTTATTATTGCTAATTAAGAATTAATTAAGATTTTAATTTAGTTTTAATTATGGCTGTTAAAGGTATATATATAAAAAAATAATTTTTTTTGACTAATAAATTTAATTCATTAAATTATTTGCAAACTAATGGTTATTTTGTGGTATAAATTAGGGCTTAATTATGTTTAATTATGATAGTAATAAGATAGGACTATATTAGTTAAATTGAGATTTATTCTTATTTCTAATTTTTATTTTATAATTTGTTTTCTATTTTTTATTCATGCAAAACATGAAATAAGTAAATCACCAAACATGGTGTTTTTAAAGCAAAAAAATAAAACAACAATAACATCAAACCTTTATCTAACTCCGTGGGATTGGCAACATGAATCCTTTTTCTCTGTGTCTTATTAAGAGCCAAATTCTCATTTAAATTTAATAAAAAATGTCATTTCTAATACTTTCTAAGTAAGTCTTTTTAGATCTACCTTTTTTTAATATAAACTAGTTATAATATATCTACTTTTCTAATCAAATTATCAAAAGGCCGACGTTTTATGTGATCAAACCATTTAAGTTGACTGTTTAATCTTATCTGCCATTGGAGCTACTCCAACTTTTTGACTTATATACTCATTTTAAATTCTATTCTTAAGTATAAATCACTCATTTACCTGAGCATCCTCTTCTCTAGAACAACAATAACTTCAAACCTTTATCTCACTCTATGGGATTGGCTACATGAATTCTTTGTCTCAATTGTGTCATGTTAAGAGTTAAATTCTCATTTAATTCTAATAAAAAATATTATTTCTAATATTTTATAACCAAGTCTTTTTAGGTCTACTTCTACCTTTCTTAACATATGCCAAATCTAATACATCTACTTTGTAATCGAGTTATCAGAAGGCCGACGTTTTATGTGACCCAACCATCTAAAATGACTCTTTCTAATCTTATCTACCATTGGAGCTACTCCAACATTTTCACATATATACTTATTTTTGCATTTTGTCTCTAAGAATGAATCTACTCATCCACTTGAGCATTCTCATCTTTGTAACACTTAACTTAGTTTTATGCTTCTCTTTTAATAGTCAACATTTTGCGCCATAAATCATTGCAGGTCTCACCACCATCTTATATAATTTTCCCTTAAAGTTTAAGGGGTAGTTTTCTATCACACAGCAGGCCCAATGCATTCCTCCACTTCGACCATCCAACTTTTTTCTAGAACTCTTTAGAGCATTTCTTTTGAAACTTTATCATATACTTCCTCTAAAAATATCATATGTAGATCCTCTTTACTTTCTCTATGCTTCTCTATCAAACCTCTCAAAAACTGTATAGCTTCCATTGTAGACCTACATGGTATGAATCCAAACTGATTTTCAGAAACATTAGTATCATGTTGTAATCTATGCTCAATTATTCCATCCTATATTTTTAAAGCATGACATGTTAACTTAATTCCTCTATAATTTGCATACTCTTGTGCATTACCATTATTCTTAAAAATAGGAATCAACACCACTCTTTCTCAACTAATCTAGCATATTTTTAGTCTTCAAAATAATATTAAAATGTTTTATAAGCTAAGAAAGTTCTTAATCTCCTAAGCATTTTTACACCTCTATTAGAATATCATTAAGTCCCACTGTTATTTCACATTTCATTTTCTTTAAATGCCCTTTAATTTTGTTTTTTCTAATACGACAATAAAAACATAAATATCTATTTTCATTTATGGTGTTAAGGTCACTAAAGCCAATTATAAAAAATAAAATAGAAAAATTATAAAAGAATTTAAAAAAGAAGAGACAATACTAATCTAAGTTGATGAAAATAAAATATTTCATAGTTTTAGCAAAAAAATAAGAAAATCTTTCAGGCATTTTTTGCATCGATTGGTTCAAATGAATTAAATATTCCTCAAATTTGGTTAATCATGAGTATAAATTATTACTTATCATTTTGTCCTCAGAATGTAAGGCTTAGACCTAATATTATCCT